ATTAGTAATTCTTTTTATTTATTCCGGATATCTGATTTTTGTAATTGCTATTTCTCCTGAATAATAATAAATGGATCCTGTTTTTTAAACTTGTCGTCTGATTATTTAAGCTACGACTAAAGCTGATACATTACACACACACATATATATATATATATAATATCAATGCAGGCTAATTCAGCAGGTCTCATATGGCCATGGCAAACATGGATAAGTGGTGTTCAAATGTGTATCAATGTGTATTAACGAACGTTACGTACATACCACTTAGTAATTATGTGTTTCAACGTGTATTAATGTGTATTAATGATCAACGCGTATTACTATGTATAAACTCAGCAGCTCTAGTATGGCCATCTGAAATATAGGTAACTGTAGACTCCTCGCACAATGCCACTCTCAGCGTGCAACAGCAGCGATGATCCTTCTTTGGCCATGTAACCATGTTTATTTAAATGAAAAAAAAAATCTGTTGCGTGCACCACATGACTTCCTTGTACGAAATATTAATTATACTATTTTTTTCTTGCATTTCATTTAAACTTATTGGATTGAATTAAATCTACTTCGTCGATAGCGCATAAACCACAACAGAATAAATGCACTCGTTAAAATTCACTATATTTGTTTACTATAGTGACACTCTGACCCTAGGTTCCCTTAACAGCGTTACATTTTATTCATTTAACTCAGAATGCACAAAATTTATATCATCTTAAGAATTATCTAATCGATGCCACATGTTCTATTCAAATACTATAATAAATCTAAAACGATGTATCAAAGAAATTAAGCAAAGAAAAAAAAAAAAAAAAAAAAAAAAGAAACTCTTTTTCACCGACGATTCAGTATTTCTCATTCAATTATTTAACTTCTTCCTTCGCGACAAGGCAAAAATACATAAAACTCAAGCTGTCTGTATTGAAAATTATGAAGTAAATTTTAAACACTTATTTCCTCGAATAAATTCCAGAATGATTTAAGCATGATTTAATTCTCAATAATAAAAGAAGGCGTTATCTTTGTTATTGCGAAGCTTACTTTCTCTAGATTGGCAACAAATCTACTATTCTGCTGTTTCAAATGTAAACAAGCAATGGCCGCCATGGGAAAAATTATCAGGCTTAGAGGCACTTAAACAACTTTTAGATTATTGATAATTCTAAAAATATTGCATACAGATTTACTAAAGGCACAAAAACCTTAACCGGAAAATAAGAACAACATAATGCAATCATTTTTAAAGCAAAAAATGCACAATGTACAAACATATAAGAATAAAGAAACTGAGATCACTGAGCCGAGTAACATCGTGGATATATTTATATACTTTTAGTGCGGCCGATTGCAACAAAAATACAAGGTGCACATCTAAAAAAAAAAAAAAAAAAAAAAAAAAAAAAAAAAAGATGTTATTCTCTTCAGAACTCATTTTAAATTATTTTTACATTTTTTTTGGGGGGGAATAGAGTCTTTTATCCTGGCCTTAAGTACAGATGTCACGCAGAAACATCGTTAAATTGCATTCGATAGCGGTGAAAATGAATATTTACATTGAAATATGATGCCTGAAACTTTTCGCGATTACAATACTTCCTTTTTACTTCTTACAAGGAAGTAATACGTTCCCAGTGGCCACTTGGGCTGGTAAGGACGGTAGGACACTGAATCAGGTGTTGGATCTGAGCATCTGCTGCGAGGCGCCGGTATGCCCCCCTCTTAACATCTGGGGCTGTTCTGGATAATGATGAACGTGGTGATGTACTGATAAACCAGTATGGTAGAGACACAGCAAGGAATATGAATACAGGCGTTTTTTGGACACAGTGCCCACGTCCCCCATCACTTGTACTGATACACTCTGTATACGTTTGATACTGCCGAATGCAATGAAAAACGGAAGTGTGCAACTAAATATTATAGCAGTCCCATATACAAAATTTCAACGTTCTACGGCTTACCATTTTAATGGAAGCTATATAAGTACTTACCAATGTTATGAAAAAAAATCCCTTTCGAATTTATTTTACAATCCGTTTTGGAAAAAAGGGTCCTTTAGTCTGTCCGCACGTGCAAACGTATTTTTAAAAAAGTCCAAATGGATTCAGCAGCAGTCAAAAGAGATATTTTCGTTGAAATATGATACTCGAAGTTTTTCGAGTTTATAATTCGTCTTTTACTTCGTATAAACAAGTTTCGTGTAGATATATTATAAAGCAAGTTAAAAAAAATCAATCATCTGATCAGGAAAGGATGTACATTTTAAAACGTAACGTAAAATGAAGGGAAAAACAAATAAAGAAAACTTAAACTATCAGAATAGATCTTATTTATGTTATAAAACTTTCTCCGCGTAATTAAATATACTCTAAAACGTTGCATAATCTTTATGTTCCTAACAGCCAAATGCATTCAGAATGCTTCTTATATTCATAAAAATTCGCAACATTCCACAGATGACAGGTGCGAAAGAGTGCGAAAAAACAGATTGTCCTGTGTTCAATTTCCGTGAATCGGGGCTATCACCTGAAAATAACCCGGGAAAAACCTCGTGAAGAAAGCAATGTAAAAGGGAAAAAACATCATCATGAAGAACATTGTGGAAGAAACGAAAACAAAGAGAAAAAAAAAGCAATTATAAAAAACACCCTGGTGTGAGACAACGTGGTGTAAAATAAACCAGTGAAAAATCTTTGCAGTTTTAACAACATCATTGTAAAATATATCGCAATAAAAATTTAAGCACCTAAAATCGTCGCATGATAATCAAATCGCAGATAAGCGTTCCCTTATTATGCAAATTTTTTCAAGTGAACTTTCACCAAATGATTTGTGAGCGCAAGAAGAAATAAATTCTTTTAGCTCTCTATTTCATACGTTTGTGTTAAGTAATCAATTTTTACGGAAAAGTAAGAGAGAAACTTAAGCATTTAAACTAGGAAATTAGTAAAAATTAATGATACGGATAGAAATTAAAAGAATTTTAAGCTGAATGTTTATAACTATAAGCAGTCATGATGTGGTATCCAGTATTGTCAGGAAGGAGAAGTACAACAAATCAAGTTTGCAAAGATTTTTGAATTTCAAACATTTCGAAACAAACGTAGAATTTAATATTAAACATGCGTTCTAAACAATAATTAAACTATTGAAAAAATTAACTTTTAAAACTGCTATCGCTATTCCTTGCGTGTAAAATGTTTTTCATTTACTAATTTGTTCATGCCAAATTTAACTACAGCAATTTTGGGTTTCATACGGCATTTTTATATCTATTTTTTATCTCCTGACTTAAAACATTTTCAATATAATGAATATTCCTGTATTTCTCGGAAGAATCGTTAAATACAGATTCATCCGTAGGTACGGAAGAATAAATGTTAATTATATAAATATATATAATGTATGAAATAAATAGCAAGGAAAAGCTGGAACACTTCTGATGCGTACTTAGATCCATATTGAAGAGGAAGAATTGCGATTGCGTAGTATGCTACTATGTTGAGTTCTTATTATTTAAAAAACTTGGCAGTCGATGCAGTTTAATTCCACTTTGATTTTCCAGTTGACGTTTGTGGCCACAATAACTGGCACTCTAACCGTGCCTATTCAAGAACATATACATTTTTTATATTATTTCAATAGGAAGCGGCATAGCAAAATTACGTCCAAGCCGAGCAGAGAGAGAAGCTGAAGTGCGTAATTGTCCACGTGAAGTGCGTTGTTGTATACACGAAGAGAAAAGTTTTGGTTTGAGTTAAAAGTTTGAGTTTCCAATTATTACGTCATCAGCGCATGCAAAATGGAATGATCTAGAAATGACGCAAACGAGAGACGTTATTGCGATGATTAAGAACCGAGACGAAGAATTAAGTTTTACGGTTAATTTAAATTATAATTTTGATTCACATATTTTTTAACTTAGATATATATTAATGTAAATTATTTTAAAAAAACTGAAAGCTTTCAGATTTTACATTGCACCCAAAGAGGCGTTTTTTAACGTTTTCTGTGTTACCATTATTTATTAAATATCACGGTCTTCGCACTTAAACCATAAAATTCAATTCAACAGCAATATCGCAAAATAATTTTAAAATGAGCATAACTTTAGAATTTCCAATACACAGTCTCTCGCGCTAGAGATAATTTTTTTTCGTACAGTTTTGCCATTGCTCGCTTTGAAATCGCTGAGTTTCTTAATCAAAAATTCGTTAAGGTGTTACAAATATGAAATCGATAATAAAACAAATTCCAAATTCCAACAGACGCCAATATTCGGAGGAGGATTACGTTATTCATATTTCGATGGCTCTAGGTACCGTTGTTTTATCACAATGCGAGAAACGTACATGCATTTTTGCAGATTCTTCATTATTTAATTTCTTTAAATATAATACAGGGCTGTAATATTTGGTGGCAACACTTTGAAAAGCGCATCAACGCAGAAAGTGAATCTACGCAAAACGAAATTAATACTATGCCAAAATACCGTGCCAAAACGAAATTAATACCATGCCAAAATACCGTGCCAAAACGAAATTAATACCATGCCAAAATACTGTGCCAAAACGAAATTAATATCATGCCAAAATACCGTGCCAAACCAAAATTAATACCATTTCAGAGCTAATGCTCCTTTTGGGCTAATAATTCGGAAGAATAAATATAAATTATGCAATATATATGTAAATATATATATATATATATATATATATATATATATATATATATATATATATATATATATGCATATATTAGATCGATCTACACACACATATATATATATATATATATACATCGATTGATCGATCGACCGATAGATAGATAGACAGATAGATAGACAGAGAGATAAATAGATAGCTATAGGGCTAGATAGATAGATAGATAGATAAAGATATGCAGATATATCTGTGAAGATGCAAAATTTAGAAAAGTAATTAAGATTAGTTTTAGTTTTAAATTATTATACCAAGTTCAAGACAGTAAGAGCTGAGTACCAATTACACAGAGCCTGTCCGTACCCTTCCATTCTCTCCGTTTGGATCACCAGTAATAGATAAGCGTACCTTCGTCTTCATAGCATCAAACAAGCTAATCTGAAAGTTAAAAAATCAAGCTATATATCGAAGCTTTTAATAAGACATTAAACATAAATTATTTATTATTTCAATGTAAATTTTTTCTGGGCTCATGTTTAAGATACAGGTCTCATAACATGCTATTTGGATTCTTAATATTTACTGTTATTTACCTATGTTAAATTTAGAAAATGTTAAAATTTTGCTAAATGTTGAATGTTTGCTAAATTGTTCAAAAATATCAAAAATATCTCGGATTATACTTTGTGAATAGATTCAAGGTTCAGAGAAGGTATGATTTCTGCGAAAAAAAATGTATTGATTAAATTTAAATTTATCAAACAATTTCCTTTGCTTCACCTATTGAATGGAAGTAAAACTAGCAGCTTAATTCTCACTAACAGCTACCAATAAAATATCTTTCAAGAGGAACCAAAATGGAAAAGAAGCTTTTTCTAATTTAAGCGAAATAGTTTTTAATTCAATGAAACATAAACTTTCAGAACATTATACTGACAAAGATACCAACAAATATACATATAACATGAATTCTTCTTCAAGTACCGAGAGGGAGAAGAATTAATAAGACGTATTCATTACTGCCCAATTACATGCGTTAATTTAAACATGGAATATTTTCAGGATAACCACGCCCATCATTTACTTTTTACACATGAATAATGGATTCTCATTAATTCATGGAATGAATGTGAACGACATCACAACACGTAATAAAATAAGCGTTATTATTATAAATTTGGTCTAAATACCTTTGATCTGGCAGCCTCTTTCCTGGCTTTGTAGCAAAACTCAATCAAAGCAACAACCATAGCTAATATTAAGCCACCTATCAGTATGTAAAAGCAACCAGCTACATTGCTCAAGGTAAGTTCATTTTGCGTAGATTCCTAAAAAAATCACATTGGGAACCGAAAAATCAGTGATCATAGAATATAGAAAGAATATTTAATTTTTAACAACATGAATTTGGAAACATTATTAACAAAAAAGTTACTCTCATTGCATATATATATATGCTCATGCACATGCATATACTATAACATACATATAGAGGATGTTCCAAACAAATCCTACAATATTTATTTTCTTAAAAGTTCATCCTAGTCGAGGAAAGTTTCTCAAAATAAATACTCAAAATTCATGAAGGCATTTCTATTTTAAAGGTGGGAGGTATTTGTAAATGTAAAAATCTAACGTTTTTTAGAGTCTTCATTGAACAAAATAACCAATTAGTGAAATGAACTTCATGATATAAAAAGAAAGAAATTTTTAAAAAAATTTCACCAGATTTAGTAGCAGAGTACAAAAAATATGTGGCGCAGTTTGGAGATTAATCCTTCCATACTGATAGAATCGAGGATTACTATAAATTTGTATTTGTTGTTTCCATGAAACTCTTGATAATTAGCATTTCTTAAATTTTGCTTTTAAATGTATAATTTTTTTATTTAAATTTTAAAGTTATAATCAGTATTATATCAGCTGAACTTTTATTTTATAGTGAGTAAATTTTTATATCTGCTAAGTATCCGTAGTTCAAATAGATTTCATGGAATTCTTCGCCATATTTTGAGAAATATTTTATTGAAAGCTCACAGTGAGGGTCAACAGCTAAATTATTTCTTTAGCTATTGTAACTGTAATTACTTTTCTGTAATTACAGTTTAATACTGTAATTACTTTTAATTAATTAATTGCTTTTAATTAATTACTTTTAATTAAAATTGTAATTACTTTTCGAACATCCTTTATATATATAATTAATTTATATCGAAAGAGATAGACCTACCTTCCTAATGTAGTTATAGATTATAATGTCTAAAGTGTGTACTTTTAACTAAGCTAGATCATACACAAGTTGTTCTTTAAAACTGCATTTTCTTTTTAAAGTTCATTTTGCAATTTATTTTATTTTTGGAAATTTTATCAGTTTGGTTAGGAAATAACAAAAGTCACTGCACAAAGCTATATTTCACAGTTAATTTTTTCTTTGAGTATTGCAGTAATTAAAATGAATTGTTAACATCGAACTTTCTACACTTACCTTACTATCTCCGTTTCTACATTCACTTCGGTCATACCACCATTTATTTTCCAACCTAGCCAAATCACCTTTTTCCTTCATTGAAAGAACAGCCAGATTTAAAAGATCCCTAAAATCACACAATAATGAGCCAACTTCAAAAATACATAAGTAGCACTTAATCTAAAATCTGTTTCTGAAAAAATGTCATAATATACTGTGCACTAGTTATAATAATAATACATCTCAAAATATAACCAATTCTGAATGGATAAGCAAAGGGTTGAAAACATTTTTATGAAAGGGCACAATAAAGAAATTTTTATTAAATATGACTAAATATTGTCGTTTTTCCATATTAATGAACTATAAAATTAATAAGTAATTCTGTGGATTTACCAAAGAATATACTAACAGAAAAGAACTAAGTGCTTTGAAGAAAGTTAATTTACTTCTCTGTTAATCTTTAAACATTACATTAATTTTTAAAATGTTTTTATTTTAATGCTTTCAATGTTATTGAACATATTAATATAATTTTTGCCTCGATACTTTATCATATACAGCATAATAAAGTGCAGTGAACTACCTATTTAACACATTATAGTTATGAAATTTGGTCAAAATATTTCTATGCCTAATTACAACAATTCATCGCTTAACACGGTTAGTTAACCTTGTATACACCTGTATTATTGAAACTCTCTTCATCGACTATAGAAGTACAAGTGAAATTTTGAAATTCATCTAACAGTTTGTAAAAGTCTCTATTTTTATTTATATTTCTTTTTAAATATTTACATAAAAATTTAATAAATAAAATAAATTGCAAATATTTTTATATCTTAACCTAAACAAAATATAAACCACATTCTTTTCAAAATTATCTTGTATCTTTATTGGCATTGAATTGCTGGTTCTGAGGAAAAATAAAGAAAATTCTAATTTTGAGAATATTTTCAATACGAATAATTACTTATTAATGGCAATTTTATTATACAATAAAATATACTTCATAATTTTGTTTAAAATAATGAAAGTATTAAAATACACGCAATGTTTTCGTCCAGGTGAATAAAAAAAAAATGGAGGATAGATAGAGCTTGATGCTCTGATACACGTATGCAGCTCTAAACTCCAAGGCTGCGTTCATTCGTATACGTAGTTTTCGCATTCCATGTTATCAGTCCCTCCCACGATCCTCGAATATTTTCAACTCCATTTTTAAGCTCGATTTCTTGGAGAATTCGACTAATGAAATTCTATTTTTCGTCTGGAATTTCATAGACCATGTTGGGTGAAATTCATCCATTGTTAAATGAAAAATGCTGCATTTAGTAATCCGTGTTGATTCGAGAAACGTATTCATTAAAACAGTGTAACCGTGTTAAGCGAGGGATGGCTGCATTGTTTCTTCTCTGTTATCCAAAATAGTTAAATATTATAATAAATAAGATATGAACCTTATATTTGATCCTAAAGGAGTAGCTACGCCATATCCTTTCGCATCTAAGTTTCGTCCAACCTTCATTGTGTCACAAGGTTGCCTCTCATTTATATAGTCGTTTTTTGTGGACTCTATAAGGAAAGCATATTTCCCTTTGGACTCCCGGACTCTCCGTATTCCCTCTTCGTACGACTGCACGAAGACATGTTTCCGGGAATTCATAAATTCCCACATTCGGGCATACACAGTAATTTTTGATCTCTGCAAAGTAATATATGTTTACAATTTTATTATATAGAGTAAAGTTACTAGCAATGATAAAAAAATTATCGAGAACATGAAGAAAATTCAAATTCTACAGTCAGTGATATATATACACTGCTGGCCATTAAAACGGAAACACCAGGAAGGAATGATCTGACAAACGTCAAAATCACATGAAAGGAAGAAGTTGGGATATGCAAATGATTAGTATTTCAGCGCATTTAAACCACGCAGGGGAGAGAAACGACATCTGAATCACTGCATAAAAGAAAAGCTGTGTAGTGGATTTCTCATTCGGAAAGAGCTTTGTAAGATTGAAGTTTGCTCAGAATATCCTGTTATGACTCGAATAAGAAGAGGAAATGCTAACCAGCAAGTTTCGAAACTCGAAAGAGGCAGGACCGTTGTCTATCGAAAGTGAAGATTATTGTTCCGTGATATCGCCGATTGCACTGGTCGATATCCAACTACTGTCATGCAAATATGGAATCAGTGGATTGTTGAGAGTCATACTGAACGGCATGCAGGATTTCAATGCCCTCACATGACTAACGCCAGAGAGGACAGACATATTGCGAGAATACAGAACCGTATGAACCGTACGCCCTGCAGAACCGTACGACCACATCACGAACCATTAGTAAAAAATGAGCATGTTTGCATCACGCTCAGTATCAGCTCTTAAGGTGCGTCGACGTTTGCAGCAGCGTGGTCTATCAACAGAGTGACCATTACTTCGGCTTACCTTGACAATGCAGCATAGAGGGAGACGGTGACTCTGGTGCACCAAACGACAAAGCTGGGAACAGGAGTGGCACAATGTTGCCTTTTCAAACGAGTCCCGGTTCTACGTGCAGTATTCTGATTGGCCGTATACGTATCTGGAGTATCCGAGGAGACCACACGTCGTTTTCGATATCTGCACAGGGACCCTGCACCGGGTGTGTTGGGTTGGGCAGCCATTGGGTACACAACACGTACAGACACAGCACATACACAACTCTAGTTCGGATCGATGGTAATTTGAACGCAGATGGGTACATTTCTGACATCTTACGTCCAGTGGTTGTGCCCTATCTTCGAGGCCCCTAAACGCCATGTTCCAACAAGATAATGCAAGACCACGTGTTTCACGTCATGTTCTGATCTTCCTCGATACACAATGCATTGGATTGCTCCCTGGGCCTGCACTGTCTCCAAATCTGTCACCCATTATAAACATTTTGTTATGGGTTGCTGAGAGACTGGCCCACCATCCCGCTGTAGCTAACATGGTTGATGAAGTGTGGCATAGACTTGACGCAGAATGGAATGAGTTTCCCAATTCTGTCATTATTAGGCAAGTCCAGTTCGACACCATGCCTAATAGGGTAAGGGCTGTTTTAGCTGCTAGGGATGGCAGTTGTTTCTACCAGTTTCAAACTACTCTAAACCTCCAAAATACTTACAAGTTATATCAGTAAACAGTATGTTATGAAGACAAAATGGTATAATAATAATAAAACCATATTAATGATGTTATAATAATTAAAAAATGATATTAAATTAATGATAATAGTGCAATAAATATTTTTTTAATTTATTTTCTTTCATGGTGTTGCAGTTTTAATGACCAGCAGTATATATATATATATATATAATGAAAATAACGTTTTCGTTCTCTAAACATTTTAAACTTGTAATTAAATTCTGCTAGAGTCATGTTCGATTGTGATGTTTAAGAAAAAAAAGCAGGATTTCTTAACTTCAATAGAGTATATTCAGGAAATTTCGCAGCTTATAAATTAAATATGCATTAAGTAGTTATAAGAAAGAAAAATGGCAAGTGGGTACATTGCTATGCAGGATATCTCCAAGAGCATTCATTTGATGTCAAAAGCCGAAACCTCGTACTTTTTTAAAGGTTGCAAGAAAATAAGCAATAATCCTTTTATTATTATTTATGTTACTTTAGAAGATTTGCTTCAGAGAATTCACGTTATAAGATATTTCTCCCGCCTTCTTCGCATGCCTTCGTAGTGTAGTGCTCAGCACTCTCGACGCGAATTCGAGAGGTTCGTGGTTCGAGTCCATAGGACGGCATTGCTCATTTCTCCTTTCTTCTGCTTGCAAAATATCCTAATATCAAAATGGTGGTGGAAAAAGATTCTTCACCACTAGGATTTAGCTTTTGGATTACCTAAAATCCCAGTTGCCCTTTAAAAGGGGGAGTACATAAGGCATTTCTCCCGCCTTTTTAGCATACCCTCGTAGTGTAGTGGTCAGCACGCTGGGCGTGTATTCCAGAGGTCCGTGGTTCGATTCCAGGCGAGGGCATTGCTCATTTTTCATGTCTCTTGCTTCCAAATAACCTAATGGCTCTACAACGTTTCAAAATTTTCACCGGTATAAGTTTTTGAATGCATGAACTTTTCTTTAACATAAATAAAGCGAGGTTAATTTATGTAGCATTTCATTAATACTACATAGTGTAAGTAGGCTGTTTGACGTGATAAAGGGAGATTTCTTAGTCACAAATTTGTATAAGTGCATTATGGTTTCGGTTTCCCATTAGACAGTATTCAGTCTCAGGATTACAGATCACATAAGAGTGCAATTAGGACATTTCCTGCGCTAAACAAATACATGTGAGAAAAATCCTAGCTGTACTTCGCCACATTAATTTCGTACGAAATTAAACAATATTATCTCAACAAGCGTTTGGGACTTATTTTCAAAGGCAAAATAATAAAAAAACATATCTAAGCTTTAGCGAATTTTTTTTTTACATGTAGCAATTTTTAATAGCAGCAATAATAAACTCATGTAAAATTATGAATAGATTATCTCTCACCATAGAACATAATAGTTCCTTCTTTCATATTTAAATCTTAATTATTACTATGTGATTAATTGCAATCGTGAATTTATAGTACGAAATAAGCTAGCGCGCACTAAACCCGTAGAGTTATAACTATATTAGCTCGAAATTAGTCTCCTCTAATATATTATATGTATATAGATATATGCTATATTATATATAGATAAGCTAGAATTTAGGAGATGAAATTACAGTACAAAATGAAAGATTTCAATTTCAATATTATATAGACTGCTTGAATATTAAAAGACCACGTGTGTAGTTATCGTATATATAAACTGTATTAACTACCGCTAATTGTGATAGCCATGTCTTACTGAACGATAACATTTCAGGCTGCATCCACTATAGTAGTTATTGGTATGGCTGGGAACCAATAGGAAGTGAACAATCATTCTTTTTGCTCAATGTCTCTTTCTATACAGTTGTAAAATATTGAATTTAATTAAACAACTTGCCTTTTGTTTTAATCAGAAAGAACTTAATTCTGATCAGTACGATTCACCAACACTGTAATTTTTTTTATTTATCCTAAAATTTAAGGAACGTTTGCCCAAAAATACGTACGTGTTATAGTAACGCTTCCGTGTAGTGAGCTTCCGTTATAGTGAGCTTCCGTGTAAGTACAGTATGTGTTTTTACGTAGTCACGTTGTGTTGCCCAAACTAAAAGGAAGGCACATTTTCTTTTCTTTCAAAAGAAAAATTGTTTTAGTTTTTAATTGCTGTGTACATGCTCGTGAAATGAATTTAAATATTATAATTTCATTTGCGTAACTCACAAATTTATATTCAGAACAAGAGAGCGTTTCGATGCAATTACGCGATTTTTCACTGGTTCGGTTGGCTCCTAATATGTCATGTCAAACGATTCTGTTCGGACTTCGGATATAAATTGCGCTACTCGGCGCCAGAATAACTATGCCCCTCAAATGCTGCATAATAAAAGCATTAAGCATCATATTTTCTTTTCTTCTGCCATTTCTCTTAATTTCACTAATTCTCATTTGTAGAGCTAAAGCAATTGATGCTTCGAGAAAGCTTCATGTGAAGCCAGGGGTTTGCAACCGGTCCAAATTATTGCACACTAATGAAATTGAGAAACCTTTTACATGCCGTACTTTTCTGGAAAATATTTCATGCTTTTCTTTATTTACTGGGATGCTCTTTTCTTTATTTCTGGGCAAAATTATTCTGTTTTCTGACCTTTGTTTCTCAAAGCGAAAGTCAGTCTTCCAGGGAAAGAAATGGTTGGTTGGCTAATTAATTTCCGCAAAGCGCATGATGACTCCTCCGAGAAAAAGAATTCAGAATATTTCAGCCATTTCTTGAATACACTGTTATCAGAAATTTTCTGAATTATAATACATTTACTTGTTAACTGTCAACTGTCAACTGTTAAACGAAGCTTAACTAGATAATAAGCACATTTTCAGTATCGACTGGCTGCCTTGTTAATACAAAGAAATAAATATGTGAAGTGATGCAAAGAGGTAAGCTTGAAACAATTTAGAAAAAATAACTAAAGGGCTTATCCAAAATCAGAGATTATATAGGTAGGGAATTCTCTGTGCTGAATTTCTGCTTTACTTTACACATTTCTGATAAAATTCGAGAACTGTACGCTTCTATTCACAAAGTGATACAACGAAATTTTAGTAGTTTTTTTTTTTTTTTTTTTTTTTTTTTTTTTTTTTTTTTTCAAATCATGTTATTAGATCATCAAATGACTAGCTTTTAATCAATTCAAAAATAAAAGCTAAAATAGCTAAACAACTTTGAATGTTTTTTTTTTTTTTTTTTTTTTTTTTTTCAAATCATGTTATTAGATCATCAAATGACTAGCTTTTAATCAATTCAAAAATAAAAGCTAAAATAGCTAAACAACTTTGAATGTTTTTTTTTTTTTTTTTTTTTTTTTTTCCCATTGGCGGGATTTGCCGTTTATAGACGTTAGCCATTACTAAGGCCGGAGGCGATGGTTTCTTTACGATGGAGGCTCCTAATAGCTGGGTCATCGCTGCCTCCCATGAACGGCCGAACAAATTGTGTCCATGCATTCGCTGGGATTTGACCCTGCACCTTTCGGAACGGCAGTCAGAGTCACTTAACTTCTTTCCAGCCTGGGCAGTCCACTG